TAACCTGTAATCTTAATCTTAAACCATGTTTTCAACTTCTATCACGGATTAACAATAGGAAGAAGAATGATGATGATGATGGCACTAGATAATACTACATTTTAAGGAAGTACAGATTTCTGATCTCCACAATGGTCTTTAAGGTCAGCATTATTATGCTCAGCTAGTACCCATTAATACTATGCTAAGAAGTGGAAAGGATAGACTTTGAATTGAGATCATTTTAACTCATAGATCATGTTCTTTCTAATCATTCTATATGACGATAATTTGGCGTTTCATTGTTTTGTTTCAATCTTGTAAAATTAGTTACAAAACTAGAAACTAATTCTTAAAGAAGATACATAAACAACTATAGAATTGATCACAAAATATAATAGAAGGGTTATTTCAATAGATGGGAGCCAGAGAAACAGTCACATTACTTGTGATTGTGAATAAAAGGCAAGACAAAATTTATAGTTCAGTGTTAGTTATTAACTAATTTGCTCAATATATTAACCACTTATTCAATGCTCTCTGCATTTCAGAAGCATTCTTACCTGAAAGTCCAGACACATCAGATTTAGGCAGGTGTCGAGCTTTTAAGACAACAACCGTAAGAGTATTTGTGGTGGACTGATAGCAGAGAGAGATCAGTAACTCACCCCGTCCTGAAGACTTCTAAAGACAGAGAAATGTAGTATAAGTATTTTTAGTATTTTTATTTTTTAGTTTTAAAGTTCGTACTTCCACTGACGTTTTTAAAGCAACATAATAATATTGCTATTGAACTGTAACATTCCTACTTATTTCTGTTTTAACATGCTAAGGAATGGAAGAGTAAATTCTTTTGTGCGGTACCATCACTGCCTAAAACAACTGCCTGCCATCTTGTGGTCTTTGTAAGTACTACAGAATGTTAACATTTGCTCAGAGTTGGCCACACCCCTTAGAAAGGTTTAGGTTATTTGAAGTATACTCTATGTGAGAGTATTTTTAGCTTTTGTTTTGTAGTGATACAGCTGCTTTTTGAATTTATTAATATTAAAAAATTACCTAATTATTTTAATTAATCTGTGGGAAGTCAAATGACTCAGGTTAAATTTGAGAATATCTTTAGCATTGACATTTTTAGAATTTGAATTCAGATCAAGTAAGACTTAATCTGACCTCCACCACTATCCAGATGCAGAGGGAGGAAATAGTTCACATTATCTGCCTTCTCTACATTTTCACGTCTCCATTTAAGCCAAGGGATGAGTTAAAGTACTGGAGAAAATTCTGAATTTTCAATACAATGTTTTTAAACATTATCATACCATACCTCTTGCATGATACTTACATTTGATTTGTAGTTTAAAAAAACATTAGGTTAGATGACCAAGAATGCAAAGCAGAAGTTTTAACGGAAGATAACAACGTGGGGCTTGGTTATAACTAAGAATGCTGACTGTGGCAG